TTAGCAAATTAAAAATTTTCAAAATTTTAAATTTTGAAAAATAAAAATCAAATAGAAAATAAAATAGAATAGTTATTAAATTATATTAGATTTCAAAATATATTGTGAAAAAATAAAAATCAAATAAAAAATAAAATAGAATTAGTTATTAAATTATATTAGGAATAAAATAGAATAGTTATTAAATTATATTAGATTTCAAAATATATTGCTATTATCTAAATATTAATTCTAAAATTGAAAAACATATAACCATCCAATCAAAATATAGAAACAAAAAAAAAAAATCTAAAAATTGCTCATTAAAAATTTTCAAAATTAAAAAAAAACGAAAATCAAATACCAAATAAAATAGAATATTTTTTTAAATTAGTTTAGATTTAAAAATATATTTCTATTTTCTAAATATTATTAATTTTAAAATTAAAAAAATATAACCATCCAATCAAAACATAAAAAAATAAAGAAAAAATTTAAAAATAAAAATATGAAATAGAATGCTCAAATAATAGAGTGTCAACTCATATCATTTTGTTTCAAGATTATATATATATATATATATATATAAAATATCACCGATTAATTAGAAAAGTCACTACCAAAATGGGCTACCATAATAAGTTAAATACTTGGCAAACTTAAAGCCCAAAGGTGGAAACCCCAAGCCCAAAGTTGGAGGTCCAAGCTCGCATTCTAAAATACTCCACATTACTCCACCAAAAGATATTTTGTATAATGTCTACATAGTAGTAATCTAAACCGTCCATTTTTGTAGACAAATCTTAGCCGTACATTGAGGAGGTGGAAATGGCTATAAATACCACCCCTCACCTCACTTGTAAAGTAACCAAGCAAACTAAGCAAAAACCAAGTAAAAGTTAATTAATCCTTTCCTTAAGCTTTGTGAAAATGTTTTGCTTCTTATTAATACAATTATATTTGGTGGTTTGTGTTTAGTATTATTGGTTGTCTCCCGTTATTATTATTGGTTTATAAATTATTAATCAATCTTGAGTTTTATCACTACGGCTGATATCCAACAAAGTGGTTATCAGAGCTTTTAATCTCAACAAGTGGTATTAGAGCTTTGGGTTGTGGTGGTGTTGTTTAGCCGTGGGTATTGTGGTATTTGTGGTGTTCATTTATAAGTGTAGAGTATCGTTACTCTGCTGGAATTAACAGTCGGGGACTGTTGTTGAAGCAAGATTCACAAGTAAGGATTGTGATCTTGATTGGTCAAGGACCATTGTGCATTGGTGAGTGTCAGGAACACCAATACCTTATGGCGGATTTTTCTAGAGTTGCTAATAGCATCGAGAAGCTAAATAGCAACAATTTCGAGAACTGGAGTACCCGTATGAGATATTATCTCATAGGTCAAGACTTATGGGATATTGTCGGAGGAGATAATACTGCACCACTAGTTGGGGATGCGAAAGCTCTGAAAGAGGGGATGCGAAAGCTCTGAAAGAGTGGGAGACAAAATGCGAGAAGGCGATGTATGTGCTGACAGTTGCAGTAGAAGATGAGCAGATGCAACGGATCAAGTCGGCTAGAACACCAAATGAAGCATGGGACATTCTCAAGTCTACTTTCGCCAAGAAGAACAAAGCAAAATTGCAACCGCTCGAAAACGAGTTGTTCTCAATCTCGCAACATAACCTCACTGTAAGTCAATACTTTTCCAAAGTAAAATCTTTATGTGAGGAGATTTCGAAATTAGAAGATCCTCGAAATTAGATCCAGACAACGAGATCAACGAGACAAGGATGAGGAGGATCATCATCCATGGTCTAAGACCTGAATTTAAGGGTCTTGTGACTGCTTCTCGTGGTTGGGCTACATAACCAACCTTAGATGAGTTAGAGAATATCTTGTCCAATGAAGAAACTTTGGACGAAAAAATGTCTAAAGTAACTTTGAAGGATGATGAGAAAGCTCTCTTTGCTAAAAAGAGGGGATTTCGAAACGTTGCGAGAGTATATGGTGGAAAAGAAAGGAGCAATCAACAAGGATGGAGAAAGCATAAGTTGAGACCATCACAGCAAGGGAGAGCAAGGCCAGGACAAAGGAAAGACGACTGGTGAGAAAGTGATCATTGCTATAAGTGCAACAAAAGAGGACATGATAGGATGTCACACATTTCGCCCGAGAATGTGAAAGCAAATGAGTACAAGGAAACATAGCATCAACCCAGAACAAGCAACAAAGTGAAGAGGAATGGGATATTCACACTTTCTTTGTTCAGGAGGAAGAATATTTGCCACAGAAGCCAGTAGAGACGATGATGAAAGGACCCGAACAAGAGTTGTCATTAATATCTGTAAGTGATAGAATCAACTATGATGATAGTTGGATAGTTGATTCTGGAAGTTCTAATCACATAACAGGAAACAAGGAGAAATTATCAGATGTATCCGATTATGATGAAGGTCGTGTTGTACTCACAACAAATAATATGAGATTGCCAATAGCTCACATTGGAAAGACAACCATTGTTTCTCCCTCCAGTAAGGAGAAACTGGAGTTACAGATGGTTTACCATGTGCCAAGGCCAAGGATGAAGAAAAACTTGCTCTCTGTATCATAAATAGCAAGTGCAGGTAATTATGTGGTGTTTTGTTTCTCGGTCCCTGATAATGTTAAAGGTTTAATCGTAACCTTAAAATTTCGGAGATCCAGTCATGGAAGGAACGGTGAGTAGAATCAAAAACTACGTTCATGTCAGCACAAGAAGCCTATGTTGACAGAAATAAGGAAGAATGAGACAACCTGACTTGTGGCAGCGCTCATTGGGACATGTTAGTTATCAACACAGTTTAAAGGTGATGAATGAGAAGTTAAAGGTCTTCCTCAGTTGGAATGCCGAGAAGACACTATATGTGCTGGATACAAGTATGGAAAAGCTCACCAACTTCCCTTTGAAGAGTCAAAACATAGAGCCAAGGTGCCATTAGAGTTAATACATTCAGATGTTCTTGGACGGATCAAGCAACCTACAAACAGTAATATGAGGTACATGATTACTTTCATCGATGACTACTCGAGATATGTTTGGGTAGATTTCCTGGTAGAGAAGTCGGAAGCTTTTGAAAAATTCCAAGCTTTCAAGAAGAAAGTTGAAAAAGAAGTCGGAAATAAAATTAGATGCCTTCACATCGACAATGGTGGAGAGTACACGTTTGACGAATTCACTAAATATTGCCAAGAGCAAGGCATTCGAAGGCAATTCACATGTCCAATAACACCGCAATAAAATGGAGTTGCTGAGAGAAAGAATCGACACCTAGTGGAGATTTGCAGGAGTTTGCTCCATGCGAAGAATGTGCCGGCTAGATTTTGGGCAGTCCCATGCGAAGAAGAATGTGCCGGTAGATTTTGGGGCAGAGTGCATTGAAGAACAGTTGTGAAAGGTCACCAACAGATTACCTCAAAGCAAAGACTGGAGTTTACATCCCCATTGCCAGAAACTGTGGAACATTAAAACCAACTGTAAAATCATTTTTGCGTTTTTGAATGCGTGTGTTATGTCTTGTGTTATGTCTTCGTTTCGGATGAACTTCGAAGCAAGTTTGACAAAAAGGCACTTCGCTGCATATTCGTTGGTTATGATGAGCAAAGAAAAGGCTGGAGATGTTGTGATCCTAAAACTAACAAGTGCCATATTTCACGAAATGTGGTCTTTAATGAGACATCATCTTGGTGGTCATATCAAGCAACCCTGCTACTAGACTGAAAAGAAATTCAAGAAAAAGTTGAAAAGAAGATAGGAGAGGGAGAGTTCATCCTAGAGAAAGGTCAAGCAGAGTCATCCAGAGTTCAAGAGAAATCCAAGAGCCCATGGAAGATAGGTGCATAGAACAACATCAGCCAAGTCAAGAAGAATAAGATCCAGATTATCCTCTACTTCGGCGATCGGGTCGAGAAAGAAGGCCTAATCCAAAATATGCAAATGCTGCTATAGCAGAGATAAAGGAGCCAACAACTTATGGATAAAAGGAGCCAACAACTTATGAAGAAGCATCAAAGAAGATAGGAGTGGACTACTGGCGATGGAAGAAGAAATTGCTACTTTTGGAGGAAAATCCAAACATGGGAATTAGTGCCAAAAACCAAGAGATTTGTGAAACGCATCTCTTGGCAAATGGGTCTACAAAATCAAAAAACTAGCCAGATGGATCAAAATTTGAGGCCAATACAAAGCCAAGACTAGTTGCTCGTGGATTTGTCTCGCAATATGGCTTGGACTATGATGAGACATTTAGTCCAGTTGCAAAGACACTACTGTGCGTGTATTACTAGCTTTGGCAGCTAGTAAGTCATGGCCTTTATGGCAGATGGATGTGAAGAACGCATTCTTACATGGTGAAGTTGATCGTGAAATGTACATAGAGCAACCACCAGGGTTCAGAAGTCGTGAGAATCCTAACTATGTGTGCAAGCTAAGGAAGGCTCTTTATGGTCTAAAACAAGCACTGTGGGCTTGGTATGGCAAGATTGCAGAATTCCTTGTCAAGAATGGATATGTTATGACACTAGCAGACTCTAGTTTGTTTGTGAAAGATCGAGAAGGAAGACTAGCTATAGTGCTAGTATACGTTGATGATTTAATAGTCACTGGCGACAACCACCGGCGACAACATTGAAGAAGATTCAACCAATCCCGAGAGAATTTGGCTACTCGTTTCAAAAAAAATGAAAGAGCTAAGGAAAGCTCAAGCATTTTCTTAGAATTGGAGATAGAAGAAGCCAAGGAAGGTTTTGTTCCTCGGACAAACAGAAGTATGCAAGAGATCTGCTGAAGAGGGTTTGGAATGATGGAATGCAAGCCGATATCTACTCCCAATTGGAAATGCTAATGTCCAAGCTGTGGTGCTTCATGAAGGGAATGGAAATCTCGAGTGCTACTATGTAAGACAAACTAGTGGGAAAGCCTAATCTAATCTCACTATGACATGGCCGGACATTTACTTTGCAGTTGGAGTAGTTAGCGCCGATTTATGCAGAAGCCTAAGAAACCTCATTTGGAAGCAGTTCGAAGAATATTGAGATATGTCAAAAGTACAATCGATTATGGGATCTTTTATAAGAGAGGTATTATCAAGTTGGAAGGATATTGCGATGCTGATTATGCAGGAGATCACGACATTCGGCGCTCGACAACAGGCTATGCATTTAGTCTTGGTTTAGGAGCAATATCTTGGTGCAGCAAGAGACAACCTACAGTGTCACTTTCCACAATAGAAGCTGAGTATCGGGCAGCAGCAACTGCAGCTCAGGAAAGTGTTTGGCTGTCACAGCTTATGAACGATCTGCATCAACCCATCGACTATCCAATTCAACCCATCGACTATCCAATTCCGTTAAATTGTGATAATCGTTCGGCTATACAAATAGCTGAGAATCCGATGTTTCATGCGAGAACAAAACACGTGGAGGTTCACTATCACTTTCTCAGAGAGAAGGTTCTACAAGGAGAGTTAAAATGAAATATATCAAGACGGAGGATCAACCAGCCGATATCTTTACAAAGAGTTTAAACGCAAATAAATATGAAGATTTTCGCCAACAGTTGGGAATGATGAAGAAAGAGAAATTAATCATTGAGGGAGAGTATTAAAATATTAGTCATGTATTAGAAAAGTCACCACTACCACAATAAGTTAAATACTTGGCAAGCTTAAAGCCCAAAAGGTGAAAACCCCAAGCCCAAAGTTGGAGGTCCAAGCCCGCATTCTAGAATACTCCACATTACTCCACCAAAAGATATTTTGTATAATGTCTACATAGTTCTAGAATTCTCCTAGAATTCTCCATGTAAATCTAAACCGTCCATTTTTGTAGACAAATCTTAGCCGTACATTGATGAGGTGGAAATGGCTAAAATACCACCCCACCCACTTGTTAAGTAACCAAAGCAAAAACTAAGCAAAAAAACCAAGTAAGTTAATTATTTCTTAAATTTTTGTTGAATGTTGTTTCTTATTAATACAATTATATTTGGTGTTTTGTGTTCGTATATTTTTGGTTGCCTTTTCCGTTATTATTTCTTGGTGTTATAAATTTTAATTCAATCTTGAAGGTTTTATCACTTACCCGCTTGATATCCAACAATGGTATCAGAGCTTTAATCTCAACATATATATATATATATATATATATATATATATATATATATATATATATAGTATATTTAAAATACTACACGCGTTAATATTTGAGTAAATTTATTAAATAAATAGATAATTACGACTTTCTTCAGTTTTTGAATCTTGAGTAATTTATAAATAAATAGATAATTACGACTTTCAAGTTTTTGAATTTCAGAATTTTTTTTGGTTAGTTTTTAAAAATTCTATACTTTTAACTTTTAAATGCACATAAGAAATTTTAATATTTTTTAGTTCACCCAATACATATTTTAAAATCTTATCTAATCAATTTTAATAAATATTTATTAATTCATTTAATCTATTCTATTTAATTTATTAATTTTAAATTATCCTTTCTCTCTCCTAGCCCTGAGATGTCTGACTGCTGGGTGCTGTACGTATTGCCAATCAGGGGGCGAAGCCACCTGCAGCCAAGCATGGGCACCTGCCCAGCCTGAAATGGGGAAAAAAAAAACTTTTAAGTTTTCGTGCATTTGGATAGAATCTAATTAAACTAATGATTCTCATGTATCATATACAAAAGATAATTTGTGATTAACATTTACTAATTTATAAATTAAATAAACTAAAAAAAGATGATGGGTGTTTAATATATAATTACATGGATCAGAAAAATTAAATATGAAATATTTATTGGGACTTTGGGCATATATAACTTTAATGATAAATAAATAAAATTTTCATTTAGCTTTTATTGAGGGTTAGATGCATTTATAGCATGCTTTGGAATATATGCAAATTTTGAAAAAAATTTCATTAGAAAAATTTCAAATTCACATTGAAATTTGAAATTTTGAAAATATATAATATAGTTAATTACTTCTTTTCATTTATTTAGACAAATATCAAATTACTTAGCTATGCTTTTTATCTCCCCTGCCAAAAAGAACTTAAGAAATATAAAAAGAACTTAAGAAATATTATAGTTAAATGAATTTAGTATAAAAGGATGATTTTTATTTTTAAAATTAATCAGATATTATTATATTATCAATCTAAAAAACTTGCAATTTCTAATTAAATTTGAGAACTAACAATTAAAATTTTTTGTATCAAAATTTTAAAATAAAGATATATTTCAGCCAAAATTTTCTTTTCATCTTATTTGCATATTTGTTATTTTATTTAATGTTAGTTAACTTTAATCTGCCCACCCTAATCAAATTTTCTACCTCCACCCCTGTTGCCAAGACAGTTATTCCGGTAGCATGGTTCCCTCCGACCCAGGGGTGGATCAAGTTGAATACATATGGGGCTAGTCGAAAGAATCCTGGGGGTGCTGGGGTGCCGGGGTAATCCGAGACCATTTGGGGCGTTGGATTGTTGATTTTTCCATTCGGCTGGGGGTGTGCTTGTCAATGGTGGCGGAGTTGTCCGCTTTATATCATGGTCTCTGTCTGGCTTGGGGGCGGGGGTTCAGGAATGTTGTGGAGGAGCTGGATTCTAAGGCAGCGCTCTTGCTGGTCCGATCGACAGCACAACACCTTCACCACCTGGGTCTTCTGTCTCTCATTAAGGGGTTGCTTCAACGAGCTTGGAGAGTTGAGCTTATTCATGTTTACCGCGAAGCAAACCGGGTTGTTGATAGGCTGGCATCGCTGGCGATGGATGGCGCTTGGGGTCTCCAAGTCTATGGTCTTCCTCCTGGTAATGTGGTTACTCTGTTGCGTGAGGACTGGCAGGGTATATTCCTGCCCAGGATAGTTAATATTGTTTCTTAATGTTTCTTCCGGCTTCCTCCCTCCTATGTATCAAAAAAAAAAAAATAATAATAATAATAAATAAAATAAAATTACCCAAGAAATTTGTATTTAATTTATATATTTTAAAATTGCAAATCAATAATAACATATTAAAGTTATTTAATGTAAATGGATGTGTGTTTATTTATTATGTTATTCCTCTTTTGATTGTGTAAAAATGAATGGAATGCTAAAATACTTTAAGAAATCATAGACGCTAATTGAAGTCTACTCTTATCATTTTAAAAAAATTGAAATTTAATCTTATAATTAATAATAATTTTTCATTTTAGCATTTATAATTATTTTATTAAATATACTTGACTTTTAATGTCATCTTATCATATTAAAATTAGTTTAATTATAATATTATTCGCTTTAATATGATTATTATTTAAATAGAGATAAATTTTAATTTAAAGTTGTTACACAAATTCATGCTTTAACATTGTAATATCTAGAGAATATAAGAGTAGAATTATAACCATGCATACTTAATCTATAATCTATAACCTATAAACTATACTATATATAAATATGTGAATAAAGAAGTGAATAATGAGATTTTCTGATCGTGTCATTAGTGAAATTTAAAGTATTCTAAAACAACCTTCTTAATAATAGCCAATTAAATAATTTTATCTACAAAAAGTATTTATAATATTTAATAGTAATTTTAAATATTTTGATTAGGACTGATTTTTGAAATTCTTTTTTTATTATTTACAATTTGATAGGATTTTTCATAAATTTATTTTTAAATATAAATCTACACATAATTAAGCCTTTGACATTTTTCATTTCTTAATTTATTTTTTTTAAAAAAATTTATTTTTCTACAATTTGGTTTATTAAAATTAGGTTTAGGGATTGTGCTGAAATTTATTTTGGGAACACTCCCTTATATAAAATATAATTAAGTACATAGAATTAGCATTACAAGTAGTTTTTAGAGCAAAGTGTAATGTAAATAAACATTGTATTTATTTTAATTTAAATAAAAATTTATGCTTTAATATTATATAAACAGTAAAATTAAATGAGTATAAAAAACGAGTAAATAAACGTGTAAAACACATTGTAAAAAGACTAGTAACCACTAATATTACCGATTAAATCTAGTATGTTACATGTTTGATATATTTAAAAATTTCAATAAGATTCAATTAAAATAATTAATTAAAAAATTGCGCTCAACAAAATTACTTTTTGGATACTAAAACAGTCTTGTAACTTTGAAACTTTTAAAATTTGTGTTATTTGGACTTGAATTTTGAAATATTGTAAATAGAAATTTCTTTCTATCTATATTTACATATCTAGCTTTTAAACTTTTTTTCCTTAATATTTACTCAATCAATTTTTTTTATCAGCAAAAGAACTTAATTTTATTCACTTATAATATTCAAAAAAGCTAAGTAGTATCTTGAACTACACATTAAGGCGTAACCTAGTAGTAAGTGGATATATGACATGATAATAGATTTAAGTTCGAATCTCATTCCCCCATTAATAAAAAAAAAGTACTATCCCGATCTATTGGGCTCTCACATACACTCAATCTAATTTGAATAACTTAAATAAAAAAACCCTCACCAAAACCATGATACAACAAATAACTAAACAATATCAAAATTAGAAACACAGGTGCAGCAAACTTATAACTATACCAGCCTATTCCAAAACCTTTTACTCAACTAATTGCTAGCCTCATTTTAACAATCTGTCAATATAATTTTACGAATCCATTATTCTTTCTTTCTTTCTTTCTTTCTTTTGCAAAAAAAAAAAAAAAAAAAAAAAAATTATTCTTTCTTCTTTCTTTTCTTTCTTTTGCAAAAAAAAAAAAAAAAAAAAAAAAAAAAAAAAAAAAAAAAAAAAAAAAGGGTTAATTAATATGGTGTTATGCCAACTTATTGCTTACAAACTATATACACCTAACAAATTTAATAATAATATATGAAACAAAAAATGACTTAAACGTGTTGTTTCACTTGAAAGAAATTAGAAATTTCAATTTAAAAAGCTACGTGTGAATTTCAATAGATGGATTTTTTTTTCCAGAAATAATCCTTTAGATGAAGATGCTAAGTTGGGTATACATTGAATGTAGACAAATATTTAACATGAAGATTATTAGCTAGGTAATGTCTCTAGGTTTAAAAAATAGAAACAATTAATGTTTCATAAGTCATGCTAACTATACATTAAATCAAAATATTTTATATTTTTTTCGGCACTATGCTGTGATGCAAAGCATGTGGCAACAATGGGGATTGCCGTCTAAATTTTTTCGTATGGATGATTTGATTATGTGGTTGTTGTTTAATTTGTCTTGCTATGTGCCAGTTTGATTATGTGGTTGTTGTTTAATTAGCTTTTAATCTTGATTAGGGGAGCTTAGGCCTCCCAAACTTTGGGATTTCTTAAAATTATCTTTTAAAATAGTGTCAATTTTTTTTTTTAACTTACCTTTAAATTTTAAACTCTCACTCCACCCTTGATTGCAGTAAATTACATTTAATGCCTTAATATAATGGTAAAAGATAAGTGAGTAATAATGTTTGAATATCATCAATATAAAAATCATCCAATACTAAAAAGAAAATACTTATGACCAATACGGTTGAAATGGAGTGATTGTGACTCTTTCTGTTTTGATCAAAAACTTCGATTGAAGTTTTGAATATAAAAATTATTATGCCGGAAGAATCTTGTACGAACTTTAGAGTACTCCAACAAGACGTAGTGTGGGGTTTTGACTTTAGAAGTAATTCAAAATCATATAAAACATAGTTTGAAAAATTTGTACATGAACCAACCAAATCGTAGAACAGTCTAATCCAATTTACAGTTTTCCTATCGGTCCTGGGGGAAAACATTGCTACAAGTAGAAACCTCATGTGAAGAAAAACAGAGTTCCCATACATGAAAACTGGTGTATCCTTGAAAACTATTATATCTGCCTCACACTGCATATAAGATATTTCATAATCTACAACTCAGTTAACAAATCTTCCAGATAGATATGAAAACAAGATTGGACATCATTTGATGTGATGCCACTGCACTCACTTTTATTATTATTATTATTATTATTATTATTATTATTATTATTATTTCACTTACCTTCCCCATAACCTTACAAAAACCTAAGACAGAAAATTCAGCATTTATTTCTTCTTTTTTTCCCCACCAAATTCAGTATTCAGTCTTATCCAAATGTTAGTAATATTTAGTAGTTGTTTTGTACGTTGAAATTAATATAAAATACACAATAATGGATAGTTCACATCTTTTTTCTATATATTTTCCATTCTATTTCACAAAGGATTTAAATTTATAATTTCTATTTTAATTATTAAGGTGTCATCTTGAAGACTAGATGAATATTCACTTAACTATAATCTATATTCAACAGGCTTAGTTCTGATGTTACAAAAAAAAAAAAAAAAAAAAAAAAAAAAAAAAAGAATAAATGCTGAATTTTACCAAAAAAAAAAAAAAAAAAAAAAGAAATAAATGCTGAATTTTACATTTTTAACAGCCTGAAAATAGTAGATTGTGAAGAGAAGGACATCTTTTTCTGATATAAACATGATTGAGGGGCAATCAAACTATCACGTAATGGCAAGGACTCTGCATTGAAAGATTAACGTGCCAAGAGCAGACCTTGCCAACTAAATTTACTTCCTACGGTTATAACGCAATAACTTTTTTACGTTTTATATATCTATATGATGATCATAAGCCATAAAAAAAATTTAAAAAAAAAAAAAGAAAAAAGCCAGCGATCAATCGATCAATTGCAAATCTAACAGTATTCATCGTTAATAATATGGATAGCAATTAAGGAATTATAGAGTTGTTGATGAGTTATAGATTGCGAAAAATGCTTTACTGCGATGAGTTATATATTTTCTTTTTCTCCAATTTTCTTATTGTAATTGTTTATTTGGTTGCTTTTTTTTTTTTTATCTTTGGGTTTGCTTCGATCTGGGCTCGATTGTGTTCTTTTTTCCATTAATTTGTTGAATGAAGCTGATGAACAAGACAGACAGTCATTTAAAGTGCCCATGGCATGTGCTCAGCACATGAGGCTTTGATGGCTCTCTTATTAATTGGAGCCTAGTCAGCATAGATACAATTGTTTTATAGGCTTTAGTTATCCGAAGTTACGAATGTGCGGTTCCGGTTCTGAATCAGTTCTCGACAAGAACCGAAACTAGAATTATAGTTCAATTCTTAATAAATTTAGAATCAAAATCAGAACCAAATGACTTTACTACCAGAACTAGAATCGAACCATAATTCAGTCCGGTTCTCATTTGGCTCTTTGGTTTTGATTCCTCGATTCTGATTTTAATTCCAGTTCTAGTTCCTGTTAAAAATTATATTGAACTCAAATTCAAATATAGTTATTAATTGTAATTATAATTAAATATAGTATTATTAATTATTAGTTATTACAAAGTGAATAATTATTATATTATTTTAATTATTTGTTATAACAACATTAGATATCATTAGATATAATATAAAGTACACGTGTTTTTAGAAATATTGTAATTATAAATTATAATGCTATTAAATATTAATTAATTTTAGTAATAGTTGTAATTATAGAATTATGATAATAATATAAACTAAAACTATTACTAAAAAGCTATAATTAAAATGTTATCAGAATACTAATATATTTATATGATATAATTTATATGATATATATATATACTATATACAGTATATATATATAAGTTTAGTAAGTTTAGTATTTCATAAGTTATAATATGAAAAAAAAGTTATATAGGAAAAAATGAATGTCTCAATTGAAAATTGAGTTAAATTTTTCTTTGTAAATATCAAATTTATTGTTAATTAATAATTAATGAAGTGTACTTCAATCAATTACACTTAGAGTCTCGCATTATCTTAATATTTATTAGTAAATATAATAATATAATTATTAATTTAAATAATAAATAATAAATAATAAATTTTCTAAAATTGTAAATTAAATAATATATCCAAAAATTAAAATTATATATTTATTAATTAGTTCTTCGGTTGGGGTCCGGTGCGGTTCCAATTCGATTCCGGTTAGATTCTTAATAAGAACTAGAACCAAAAGCGAGACATAAAATTTTTTTTGTTCCGGTTCTTAAAAATTGTTTTTTTTTTTTTTTTTTTTTTTTGTTTAGATTCAGTTCGGATCGGTTCTACGGTTCGGTTTGGATCCTCAAGAATCATGCACAGCCCTAATCCTAATGGCAAATTCAGTTGGACACGTGGCAATAAACACTTAATTGAAAATTATGGTGATTTAAACACTTGATTGCAAAAGTTTTCTTGTCAGATACTTAAAAAGAAAATTTTAAGATTTTTGGGATGAGATTTTTCAAATTAAATCTGCAGTTCAAAATCTTCATAATGTGCAATTTACGCATGTCTTGAGATCAGCTAATAGTTTTGCAGAATCTCTAGCTAAACAAGACACCTTCAGATCAGAAGATTTTTATGCTAAACTTTGAGTATTTAATGTTGTTGCAGCTCTATGGGTTTCTTGTTCCCAAGTCAGGCTTTGCATGTTTTGGATGAGTCCATTTGGCTCAGGTGTAGTTTTTAAGCTCAAGTTGTTTTTCTCTTCACCATTAATAAAGTTCTCCAGCTTATGAGACCAAAAAAAAAAAAAAAAAAATTGAGACCAAAAAAAAAAAAAAAAAATTTGAGAAGTTTCGGATACTAAATTTAAAAAAAAAAAAAAAAAAATTGAGAAGTTCGGATACTAAATTTATAATTAACCCTTTCTAGTATAGTTGAATTAGTCATCGCAATCCCATCGTAAATTTCACTAAAAAATTTCTTTTTCTGAAATATAAAATCAATCGCCAAAAGTCCTATCAGAAAATTGCGAAAGATTTTTGTCTGTCGCTAATTAACATTTAAATTGCGAAAGATTTTTCTGTCACTAATTAATGTTCTTTTTTTGATAGTGAGCTTAAAAGATAAATCTTCCTTTATATTCATAAAATATGAAAAATATTTTGCATTAAAACATATTTGTAAGTTCAAAGTTGATAGGTAGCTACAGATAAAATATGATGATAATATAAATAAGATCTGAATTTTTTTTCTCCTTTTTTTTTTTTATTTACACATGTACATTTTTAGGTTTGGATTGAGAGTAATATTCATTTAATTAAAAAATTGTCTCCACAGTGATGAATTTAAATTTTAAACTCTTGATTTTACATATAAAGTTAGCTTAAAAAAAAAAAAATAGAGTTAAGGAAAAATTACAAACAGAGAACTAAATAAGTTATTAGCATTTATAATATTTTACTGCTCATCTTCTGTAACAAACATATATATTGAAAGAGACTGCAACCCACAAATCTTCAAAACATCCGAAACAAAGATAATAAGTTACGATACATTCATATTTTAGAGATAGAAATTATTATAATTTCAAGAGATATAATCTTGAAATTAATTGTTAAAATTAGCGTCTTCTTGCAGCAGTTTCCCTTTGTGCATTGAAGTAAACAGCAGCAACAGGAAGACCAAGCTCGTTTTCAGCAGCAAAATTTCGAGTGTTGAAATTATCCCTTGACCAAGGTGGGTGCTGTATTTGTGATCTTTTTTTTTGTTTGAACAACACAAACACAAACCTGTGGATTCCTATGTTTGGCCTTGGAATTTCATAGCTCACTATCTCCTTTCCTGTTGTACGTAAACATTTTAATTAGCATTTTCTTTTGGAAGGAAGTAAAATTGAATTAACGAGTATGAATTCACCAAATGTGGCATCTGTTGTTCCTGGAATGTCACTCACTATCCTGCAAAAAAGTTCAATTAAAGTAATTTCTTTAGATAATCTGACAACAACGTATCTATTTGTTTTATATATTTTGCTATTTCTTGCAATGCCATAAAATTAATTTTCATCTCTCTTTCTATATATGTATATATGTAGCTAGATTTTGTTCATCTTGTGGTGTTGATGATTTCTTTATCTTGTAGCTATTGTTAATATGTACCGGGTGATTTTTTTTTTTTTTTTCCCTTTAGTACCGGGTGAAACCGGGTGATTTTTTTTTTTTTTTTCCCTTCTAGATTGTAAAATCTGTTGATTCACTCAGTTAAAGTCTGAATCAATTTCAGCATTTTCTTCCTTTCTTTCTTTCTCTCTTTTTCTTTTTTTTTTTATAAACAGCTAAATTGCAGATGATTTTTCCTCATTTTTTAATAAAATTTTTGCAGTTAATCAGAAAAAAGAAAATAAGACAGATAGACATAGTTTCTCACTAATGCAAAAAAAAAAAAAATTTCAAGTTTAATATAAAATTAAAGATTTCAAGTAAAAAGCTCGAAACTTACAAGCACCAGTATTCGTCCTCATTGCTATGGACATATGAATTTGTTGTAGGATTTATTTATTACTTCAGCATCATTTAATCAAAGGTAAGTATAAACTCTATGTAAGAAGTTTTGCCCTAGAACTGAAGGTTAATGAACCCTAAATAGCTAGGATATACCTAAAATATAAACACAATTGAAGTAGAAAAATTAGTGGTCTAAGTATACCAGTGCAGGTGCTCTCTCAAATAAGGATCACTAGGACCAGGAACATCTGGGTCTGTCATCACCTGATTGAAAAGAATAAAATTATATATAGTCTCACAAATTATAAAAAATAAAAAATAAAACAAAAAAAAAAAAAAAAAAAAAAAAAAAAGAGAAAGAAACAAGTTTCAATCTAAAAAAAAAAAAAAAAAAAAAAAAAAAAAAAAAAAAAAAGAGAGAGAAACAAGTTTCAATCTTATAAGAGGCCTAAATACATACCAATGTAAAGAAAGATCTCATATCATCTCCTTCCACAGCAACTTTAGGTTTTGAAGCAATAGTTGATGGATAAAGCTCATGTCCATTGCAGACTTTCCTGTCAGTATAAGCAACAGACATTTTTATAGTTGGTGTAAAAAGATCAAGAACATCTCCTATCACTCTCTCAACAATAAGAGGGTCTACTGGTTTTTCCATTGATAGATAATGGAGATAGCTAGGGAGAGAGAGAGAGAAGCTTAATTAGTAAGGCTATGTTTCCTTTTTCTGTTATAATGGAGTTGAGCAGAGGCCTGGCCTAATATTTATAGGGAGTGCCCTGTAAGTTGAGAGTAATTTACAGGAGTCAGCAGTGGTAGAAAAACTAGAACAAATTAATAATATTATGGAATATGTGAATATATATCGTACTTAACTGATTCGTTTCTCAGTCTCATTCAATAGGTATAAATTCCTGGGCTAGACTTTGTATTGTAAACCACAAATTTAAATAATTATATTTTCCATTTGCATCTTATCAGCTGTGTTTATATGTTTTTGTGACCCCTAATTAACATCTCTTCCCTTGCTTGTTTTCTTGGGTCCCTAGGAATTGGTTCTTAGTTTGGGGGCTGTCTCTTCCTAGCTAGTTACTACTCATCAGTGTTCCTTGGAAAGAAAAAAATAAATCATCCAAGTGATAGGTCAGTCTGCAAGCTAGCTTGCTTAGGGTTTGAATCCTAGATTAAATAAGGACTTAATTGCCGTTGAGATGATATTTTTGAACTGGATTGATTAAGAAACATTAATATTTATGAACATAGATTAGTCTGAGTGAAAAAGATTCAACTCCAGCAAGCGATCAAATCTTCAATTCATGATATGTTTGTATTTCTAGTGTTGCTGTATTTAAGAAAATATATCAATGGAAACTTTTTTTTTAAAAAAAAAGGTTATTTTCGAGAACAGTAATCTTTTTCTTTTTATATAACAGAAAGAAAATTGAAGTTTAAAAAGAAGAAACAAATTAATAGGCTACCACTTGTCTTAAATGATGATTCATCCAAAGGGAGAGACTTGGAAAAGAAAAGTGCAACTGATGAAAACCCAGCATGAGAGTTAATGCCTATTTTTAGTGGGAAGTAAACTTAGCTTCTCTATAAATGTTGGAAATTTTTAAAAAAGTTATATGTAATTTTTTTTTTTACAAACCTTAGGAAATTTAAGATAATGATAATAATTAAAAAAATTAAAAATATATAAATACATGCTATTAATTCATTGACTATCAAGAATTATAATTATTGTCAAGGCAGACAACAGCAACAACTAAAACTTAGTTCCAAATTATTTAGGGTCGGTTAAATGAATTCTTTAACTCCAATGTTTGTTTTGATCAAATTAATAACAAATCAAATTAGAGTATAAATTGAAAATAAAATTTGAAATAATTTTTGTATAAAAAATATCTTATAGAGAGAATTTTTAAATTATTTAATATAATAATACATAGGCAAAGAAAGTAACATTTTATAATCTATTTTATTAAACTTTAAATATTAATAAAAACATTATGTTATTGAACACTATAAATAATACGTAGTGTTTTGACCTTAATCAAAGTACCGTAGCGCTACATGAAAAGTCATGTAGCCGCAAATTCCCAATTATAATAGTCCCAAGTTATTTTTTTCACCAACATTTAAAATGTACTAATTATACAAAAATGATTTCAATTTTAGTATTAAGTGAATTCCAATCCTAACATATTAAACTGCGCTACCTTACACCATTCCAAATAGCTATTGGCATGTACATGCAAAATCAACTTATTACTTGTAATTACATATTTGCTAGATTGAGAAGTGAATTAGTATTTGTAGAACCCTACAGGATTTGGATCCTTACTAAAAAAAACACAAGTTGCCATTTCTGTTTCTAACTTTCTACTAAAAGAAAAAAAAAAATGCAAGAACAGGAAAAGATTAAAGCTTCAAAGAAATTTCTCTTCATTGTTCTTGATGATGATGAGCTTCATCTATAATATCTATATATAAAGATGTGTAAATAAGGGGAATGATGAGATTTTTTAAAAAATATATTTTTAGTGAAATAATGAGAATAATTCGCTTGGCTGTCTAATTTTTCAACATTTTATTCTCTTTTTTTAAGCAAACTTTGAAATTAATTATTTTTTAAAATTTTAATTAAATGATTCATTTACCTACTATACAATAATTATAATCAATACTTAATATTATATAAAGTAATAAAAAACAAATAATGATTACTTGTTTTTGCTTTTGCCTTCAATTACTATATATAATCAATATTATACGAGCAACATTTACAATAATTTTAAAATTCATCATGAGCAGTAAGATCTATTAAAAAAGGGAAAATTATTATTTCGTCCCTGAAGTTTTACATAATTATTTAGGTAGTCCTCGACATTTATACATATATATATAACTCCCTGAGGTTTGCCACCGTCGTATTAATTGATTGTTCCGTAAAAAAAATACATTTTTTCAGTTAATTTTGAGAAGAAAAGACGAAATTATCCATTGGAAAAATAATTATTTCGTCCCTAAGGTTTGCCATAATTATTAAGTAGTCCACTACATTTATACAAATATTTATAACGTCCCTGAGGTTTACTTCCGTCATATTAATTGGTCATTTCATAAAAAAAATACACTTTTTCCCTGAGGTTTACTTCCGTCATATTAATTGGTCATTTCATAAAAAAAATACACTTTTTCTGTTAATTTTGAGTGAAAAAGATGAAATTATCCTTTATATATTTTCATTGACATTATTGTCAATCTCTTTCCTCTAAAATACCTGAAATTCACATTTTCACCATCTTTCTCAACCCAATGCGGTCTTCTAAAATTGTATCCACCACAGCTTCCATTTTGGACACGTATTTTATTTTAAATTTTTTTGAAAAATTTTTATTATTAAATAAATATTCATTCAAAAATTTGACAAAATTTTTAAACATTTGTCAGAAACAATTTTGAGATATTGGATCCATATTTTTTTTTTCCAACCCAAAAACTCCTTCAAAAATCGTAAACTTGAATAAACACTCAAATCATGCATTTTAATAAAAAATGTTAACTTTTAATTATTTAATTAAGTCCAAATTATTATTTTTTTAATAATACTGGCGTGTGAATATTGTTCTAGTAGTACTTAACTAGGAGAAACCTTTAAGAAACAGTAAAAGATTTAAGAAAATTTTAATAATTTTTTCCTTCTCCTTATCTCTCCTAATTAAAATTTTAAATTAATCAAGTATTATGTATTCTCTCTATTAAATTCTTAAATTAAATCAAGTATTTTATGTATACCTTTTTTAAATTAAAATTTTAAATTAATGCGATTTTGTTTAATTCGTATATTTTAGAAATAATTATTTTCCCTTCTTAGTTTTGTTGGTTGCTCTGGTTATGAAGATGATACTTGTTATCAGAGACATCATTCATTGTGGTGTGCAATGAAGACTCGCAATCTAGGTATTTGAGGATTAGATGGTGGAAAATTGAAGTTTAGGTTATTTTAGAGGTAAAGGGATTGACATTATGTCAATTGATAACTTTATTAAAGGATAATTTCATTTTTTCCGCTAAAAATTAAACAAAACTTTAATTTGTTTTTTTTTTGATGAAGTACAAATTACTAATATGAGCAATAGTAAACCTTTCTAAAGGACATTATAAATACTTTGTATAAAACTGTCGGGGACTTTACTCGGTAGATTTAATTATGGTAATATCCTCAGGGCACGAAAAATAACTATTTTGTTTTGGTATCAAAAGGATTTAATTTCTTGTCTTTGTCTATCTTCAAAATTTCTAGCGGGTAAACTAGTGTATTTTGCTATTCTTTTGACGGATAGGGCGACTCATGTTAACTATGCGGTGCTGAAAGCCTTAGGGACATTTTATATTTACTACATATATATTTTTTTTATATTTTTATCTATTTTATAAATCTCTATATTATTCGGTTTGGTGATTTTTGGTATATATCACTGATCATGAGAGTCTTTTTACTTTCTAACACCAATAATTTTAGTTTCAAATACTTACAGTATATACGAAATCTTTAAATATCTTTCTTCGCCCTCTACATTCCAGGAAGATCTTAACCAATAAACATTAAGGGCATACGTCTCTTCATGAAGGACGCCAGGAGTCCTTAAATTTTAGGTTATCATCACCTCTCTTGTTCCAATTACGCATAGCGGTGACCTGCCATATCATTGTACTTAAAGAATACCACTTATCTACTAATAACACGAGCGAGACCATGAAACCTTCCCCCAAATTTTAATGTATTACACAGTCAGCACTGAGCGAACACCCTTCTAACTATTATTCATTCTGAGAGATTATCTTCTTGTTACGACCCTCCTCACCGGACCAAATTCTCTCTGTCTGATTGTTCTCATTGGGATAAGCATCCCGATGGTTCTAATATGTCGAGGTTTACCTAAATAATTATGTAAAACTTCAGAAACGAAATAATAATTTTCCCTTACAAAAATTACAAAACCCATTAAGGGCATACACTTCATAAGGGCCGGGTCCTTTAAATTTTAGGTCATCACCCCCTTGCCAATAGGCTAGGGTGATGCATATCATAAAAGAAACCTATTATATATAACGAGCGAGACTGAAACCTTCCCAAATTAAATGTAAACAGTATGTGAGCGAACCTTTAGAATTTTGAGAGATTCTTTTGTTTACGACCCCCACCACAAAATTCTCTGCTGTGTTCTGATAAGTCATTTCAATGTAAAAAGAGTGATTCAGAAGAGACTCTCTAAGTTTAGTATGGGAAGAAGGTGATAGGTGTTCCATAACTAGAAGCTAATGTACTTCTCTCTGTTGGACCTCTAATGATAGTTTCTCTACCTTCACTATGTGCTTCCACCTGGCATTTATTTTTCATTTTCTTTTTTTTTTTTTCTCATGAATGATTCTTTTTATTTTCTTCTTTTCATACTTTTTCCCCTACCGTTCAGGCCTCCTTTTCCTTTTCTTTTTTTTTTTTTTTTGGTTAAATTTTAAGGTGAATTTGTGCTTTTTTTATCCGTTATGCCTAAGAAATTTTTTTTTTCTCTCTGTTTGTGTGTATATAGTGTACTAACTTATTCTTATTATTACTCTTTAGCTATTTTAACATCATAATTTATAAATTAG